GAAATACCTGTCATCGGAAAAATGCAGGAGATTTCTTGATCTATAAAATGAAGGGAGAAGTCCAAACCCTTTTTTAGAGATGAAAGCTTTCTTCTTTTTTCCAAACAAACAAACAAAAATCACAGAGTATTACGTGGAACACAAATATATACGATAGATAAAAACTGGGCCACATCCAAATGAAAGGAGAAAAGGGGAGACTTTCCTGGTCCCTGCAAGGAACTTGAGGCATGTTGTCAAAAAATCTAAGGCTCCCCTGGGCTCATTCTAGAGACCATGGGACCAGAGAATTTCTACAACGGGTGTCAACCTCCAATTTATGAGGATTTTTTTAAAAGATTTTATTTACTTATTTGACAGAGAGAGAGAGCGAGAGAGGGAACACAAGCAGGGGGAGTGGGAGAGGGAGAAGGAGGCTTCCCGCCAAGCAAGGAGCTCGATGCGGGGCTCGATCCCAGGACCCTGGGATCATGACCTGAGCCAAAGGCAGGCGCTTAATGAATGAGCCACCCAGGTGCCCCTAATTTATGAGGATTTTAAAGATTTATTTATTTACTTGAGAGAGAGAGAGCACGGGGGAGGGGCAGAAGCCAAGGGAGAGAGAGAATCTCAAGCAGACTCCCCGCTGAGCACGGAGCTTGACACAGGGCTCCATCTCAGGACTCTGAGATCATGACCTGAGCTGAAATCAAGAGTCAGATGCTTACTCGACTGAGCCATCCAGGCACCTAGTTTTTGGTTTGTTTGTTGTTGTTGTTCGAGGATTTTAAATCCCAGTAATATTAAGAACCTGAACTGCTGAGCTTGAAAAGAAGAATTTACCCAGAGTCGTAATTCATTTTATATGCTCTCTTATCTTATCTATCTTATCTGGAAAACCTCTGACCATCTCCTCTCTTCTTACACCTACAACCCTCGGTGAAGGTCACAGAACACTCCAATTCACCATTGCCATATTCCTTTTTACCTTCCTCTTCTTTATTAGCATTACCATCATCATCATCATCATCATCGTAAATATTTACAGAGCACCTAGTACAGTTGTTTCCCCCTAATCCATGGGGTATACGTGAGTTCCAAGACCCCCACTGGATGCCTGAAACTGTGGACAGTATCCAGCCTTAGGCAGACTATGTTTTTTCTGATACGTACATACCTAGGATAAAGTTTAATTTGTAAATTAGGCAAAGTAGGAGCTTAACAACAATTATTAATAACATGGAACAATTATAACAATAGAGTTTAATACAAGTTGTATGAATGTGGTCTCTCAACATAGCTTGTTGCACTGTACTCAGCCTTCTTCCTGAGATGCTGTCAGATGATAAAATGCCCACATGATGAGATTAGTTGTTGTGATGTCTGTTAGGCAGCTAGTGACCTGACGATACTTCGGGAGGAGGACCGTCTGCTTGCGGACGGTGGTTGACTGCAGGTAACTGAAGCCATGGAAACGGTGGAGAAGGGGGGACTATTGTATGTGACCAGTGCAGTATTAGCTCATTTAATCCTCGCAACACGACAGCTATATTATTATTCACATTTTATTTTTTTTTTAAAGATTTTATTTATTTATTTGAGAGAGAGAGAATGAGAGAGAGCAAGCACATGAGAGGGGGGAGGGTCAGAGGGAGAAGCAGACTCCCTGCCAAGCAGGGAGCCCGATGCGGGACTCGATCCCGGGACTCCAGGATCATGACCCGAGCCGAAGGCAGTCGCCCAACCAATTGAGCCACCCAGGCGCCCTATTATTCACATTTTAGAGATGAGAATACTCAGCACAGAGATGTAATTTGCCACCTGAAAAATGGCAAAGGTGAAATTTAAGTTCCTGACAGTCTGACTGTAATCTCCTTGGGCAATAGCCAAAGGCTAAACCATCTTGTTTATCAGTTGGTGTAATTCCTAGAGGTTGACTTGTCTTTCTCCCCAACTAATTTTGTCCTGGCCAAAGGATAGATTATGGGCTTTGTGGATGGATCTTGATTTTATGATCCACAGCCTTTCTGAAATTCTAGGTATTGGGCAAATTTGTGAAGTTGGTACTTTCAGGTTTCAGGAACATAGCCCCTCTCTTTAAAAAACAAAACAAAACAAAACTTTTCTTTTGTTTCTTGGTAGAAACCCCTCTGCCCATGTCAGGCAATCAGCCTTCTTGCATTTTCTCTATACTTTGCTCTATTAAAAACAAAAGCAAAAAACACAAAAAGCACTCATGAGTTTATTGGCCCTAACGTGTAATCAGCTGCTATAAATTAGAAGCATATTTGCATTTTTTTTTAAAGATTTTTTATTTATTTATCTGAGAGAGAATGGGAGACAGAGAGCATGAGAGGGGGAGGATCAGAGGGAGAAGCAGACTCCCCACTGAGCAGGGAGTCCGATGCGGGACTCGATCCCGGGACTCCAGGATCATGACCTGAGCCGAAGGCAGTTGCTTAGCCAACTGAGCCACCCAGGCGCCCCGCATATTTGCATTTTAAAAAGTCATAAAGCCTAATAAGTAACTCCTTAGTGGTGAAATTTCAGAGGACATTATTTTAGACTGGGGTCTTCCTCATATCTTGGCTTCAGGTAAACCAGTCCATCCAATTTCCCTCTTTTATATCTCAACTCCTCAAATGATCTATTTTATTCTAACTGCTTTTATTTTCTGGCTTCTGGCTTCTGGCTATTCTTCCCCTAGTCCACTGAAATTAAAAACACAAAAAACATTATCACTAAATCCAGTGGTCTTTCATTCAAATGCTTTCTCTTTCATCTTTTTATGGCATTAATTTTTTTTTTATCATTCCTTTTGCATTGAAAAACTATTCTCCTGAGATTTATGTAACACTAAACTTGCTTGGCTACCCTCCCACTTCTCTGGGGAATCATTTTTTTTTCCTCCTTTAAAAACTTTTCTTCTTTTGATCTCCTAATTGTGTGAATTCTTCAGGCTACTACTTGAGCAAATAATACCCATATTTAAAATTGTCACTGGTGCCCCATTATTTATACCTTCCCAAAGTCTGATGTATGAAACAGTGTTCCCACAAGACTGCGTTAAAGAAACGAACATCCGGGAGGCACAGCAGACACTCTTCTTGCCTGTGTGTTCTAAAGGCTATAAAATTCAGTATTCTCTTTCATGATCTTACTTCCAGATGGAGTGACCATGTAACACAAGTCTGGCCAATAAGGCATAAATTAAAGTCTGTTGACCCTTCACCCTTCTTCCTGTTTTTGACACAGACTTGAAGCAGGAACTGCAGTGGACAACCTGTGATTTTGAGGGAAAAGCAAAGTGATTTGCAGAGATGCCAGCCTCCACATTGCAGAGCACTGAATGTTCTACCTTCTGAATTCTTGTTAAGTAAGATGAACGAATCCCTATTTGTTTGGACTGCCATAATCAGGTGATTTATACCTAGCAGCTGACCATACTAGACCTAGATATAAAATTGCAAACTACAGTATGTTCCTCTTAGAACTTCAGAAGGCAGAGTAGAATATTAAAAAGAAGAAATCTATTTAATTTTGTTCAATAGATCATCTCCTAAAGTCACTTGATCAAGGAGCCCTTTTCTTCCTGTATTATAACGATCCCATAGAACTCAGTTTCCTACATCGTTGCTTCAAAGTGGGCAGCAACATCGAGACCAGCAACAACTGCACCATCTGAAAACTTGTTTAAAAACCAGAACCTTAGGCCCCAGCCCCAAATCAAAGTCTACATTTTCATAAGACTCCAGGTAATACGTGTGACATTAAAGGTTGAGAAGCACTGCTTCAGGAAACACTGGTTAGAGGATAAAGTACAACTAAACTTAAGATTTTTATGTGACCTATTATTCAAGATATCTGTTATTATTGTCCCTGAATGCCTACTTCACTTCATAATCACATAATTCTCATTCACTGCTGACTTTGTGCAAGGCATTATTTGAAATACTTGTATAATCCCCAATCTAACCCTGTGAGGCAGATACTATCATAATCTTCATCTTACAGATGAGATAGCTGAGGCTCAGAGAAGTTAAGTAGCTTACCCAAGGTCCCACAGCTATCAGATGGCAGAATCCTTGGTTTAAGGATTTAAAGATCACTAAACTCCATTGCCTCTCTAACCTGTTTTGTTTTTCCATACTTTCCTACTTTGTGTACTTTATACAAGGTTTCCCTTAGCCTGCAATGATCTTCCACATACACCCAGTTAAAAATCTCACTCAAAAATTTAGTACTTCCAGGAGGAGTTTCTGATCCCCTCCCACCAAGCCAGGTCAGGTCCCCTGTTGTACCTTCCCCAGGAACATATTTTTCCTTTATACTTACCAGCTTTTAAAATTATTTATATTTTTCTGATTAGTTCATGTCTTGATTTAAAAAAATGAGCTTCACTTGGGCTTGAACAGTGGGCACTCAAATATTTTTTAGACTCTCTTGCCTTTATTCATACTTTTGCTTTCACTTGAAAGGTTCTCTCCCTCCACCTCACCTATCCAAGTCCTATCCATAAGAAGCTGTAACATGGTAGCAAAAGATTGGATTTGGGATCAGAATTTGACTCTGAAATTGGAGTTGAATCCTTGTTCCCTGGCTTCCTAGCTTTGTAACTTTGAGCAGTCACAAAATCTCAGATCGACAAATGTTCAGCTCTGTTATTGGGGGGGGCGGGTAACAATACCTCAGAGGACTGGTGTACGGATTAAAATGAGGCTTCTGAAAGAAGTGTGAACCTACACAAACATCCTAAAAATACAGGGTAATGTTTTATAGTGATTAAGACCCTAAATTGTGTTTATGAGTTCCAGCTCATAGTCAGAGATCTAAGTTCAAATCCTAACTCATATTTGTTGTCTATGCAGTTGATTTGGCAATCCGTCATTTACCATATTTTTCCATGTGTGTTTTCAACTGCATTTATACTTAATTTAACATGTATTTACCCAAGACATGTTATATATTCTGTGCTTTTTATGTGTTGTTCAACATAAGCGCTTCTCATAATGTTCTGCACATAGGAATCCAATAATCTATATTTATTTGAAGAATACACATATTTGCTGCACTGACAGTTCATTATGTAATCAAGGTAAGTAGTAATGAAAAGTAGTACACATTACAATTACCATCTATAAGCACGTGTATGTGCAGAAGAGCTATTTTTCAAATCACATTAAACCTAGATGAATTACAGAACGAAAGCCCACCAGGGAAAAATTAAACAATATTTGGAATAAAATCATTTGGCCTGATTTTCATAACCACAGATTGCAGCGAGTACCACCATCCATGCCAAGTATGCCAGACAATCCCATTGTCCGTTTTAGCCTTGTAGGGACCCGGGTAGTATAAGCCATTCAGGTTTGCGGAGTGACACCTAGTGGGAAGAAAAATAAACACAAAACAGTCAGACCAGAAAAATCGCCTTCCTCTGAAACCCTTTTATTGGCTAGCAGATGATAAAAAACAGAAAGCAAAAAACAAAAAACATTTTGACTATGAATCCTGCCATTTTTCAGACAAGAGAATCTTGATCAATTTCCAAAAGCCAGGAGATTTCTACAATAGATGGGTTTTTTCAACTGATGGATTTTAGTGCTGTACCCAGTCTCAGGATACAGCCCAGCTCACCTGTAGTGTCCTGTAAAAAAAGCATTTCTGTTCTTAATCGCTTTTACACAGAAAAAGGGAAAGCAAGCAAACAAAAACATGACCTTATCACCGTGGGCCTTTGCAAGCGGGGTCAACAAAACCAGGTGGGGCAGGGCGCTCTCTTGCCATCTTCCCTGGATCCTTTGCTCGTATGTGTTCATCCATCCGCTGCCAGGACTTAGCTTTTGCACTGCAAACTCCCTTCCTCCCCTTTTTTAAAAATCGCCAACATGTCCATTATTTTAACCTCAAGGGTAGGAAAACAAAACCTAAACCACCATTTAAAGTTTTCCCAGCAATTAACCAATAATCGTTTGTCTGATTTGCCGAGTTATTTTTTTTTTTTAAAGATTTTATTTATTTATTTGAGAGAGAGAATGAGAGAGCACATGAGAGGGGGGAGGGTCAGAGGGAGAAGCAGACCCCCCGCCGAGCAGGGAGCCCGATGCGGG